CCCAGGTGCAGGGCCAGCTGGTACTTGGTTGAGAATGAGCATGGACTGACGCCCACTGATCAGCCCAACCTCTCCATCTCAGCACACGATACAACCACACGAAACCACCGGCAACTACAGATAACAAACTCACATTGCCCTTGATGCTGGCCGGCGCGTCCACCAGCCAGGCTGGCTGGGTGAACCGCAGGCGCGACGCCTCCCCGCCCTCCTCCATGGTCGCGGCCTCCAGGATGGGGCTCGTCCGGTGGCCCTGCTTGTCCCGTCGCAGGCCTACAATTGAGTATTGTGAGGGTGGGCTATCCAATTGGCAAGTAATGTTCGTGCAGGGCAGGCGCCAAGCAAGACTGGCCACATGAGTCGCGCCATGAAACTTCCAAAGTGCTTCAGGGCGGAGATCACTTCAGATGGGGACTCTCACTAGCTGCGGCCGTCCGCCTCCCTGGCACAAAGACACCTTCCAATCCCCAACCCTTCACCTCCATCCTCAACTCCCTGGCTCACGTGTCACGGTCTCCAGCATGTGCCTCTGGGCCTCCACCACCTCTGACAGCGTGCGCGCCCCGAAGTGCAGCCAGTCCTCGTGCTTGTCATGCAGGGAGCCAAGGTATTCCTCGCTCACCCCCACCTCCTCGGCCCGGGCCCGGTGCCGTAGGCGCTGGATGCAGGTATCGGGGCTGGCCTTCAGGTAGATGAAGCCGTTGGGCGTCAGCAGCTTGTCGTTCCCGATCTCCATATTAAACCTGGCGCAAGGTGGTGTTTGTGAGGCGGAAAGGAGGCATGCTGAGTGCCAGGCCAGGGGGAAGGATGGGAGTCAGGGCGGCCATGCGGCCTTCCTGTGAAGATCACGTTGCTCCCTGGACCTAGCTCGGCAGAATCTGCCCCACCAGACAGCAGAAACCCAAACTCTTGCATGCATAGGTGCCCACATTCCTCCTCCCAGATCCCCACCCCAGGCTCCTGGCCAGACCATGCCAGAACTGCCTACGCACCAGGAGTCGTAGATGGAGACCTCCATGTCTTGCAGGAACCCGCTCTCGTGCATGGCCCTCACAAAGACCATGCGGTCGCTGAAGATGGACCGCTCCAGCACCCGTAGCGGCTTGAGCCCGCTCCTGGAGTCCCGCTCCTGATGAGACATGGGGGGGGGAACTGTTCAGCCTCCTCATGGCACCGGTAGAACTGTGTGCACACCCACCTGAAGCATCAGCAGCCCCGACCACCGCCCAGACCCTGCACCAACCCCAGGATGTCTCATGACAAGGCCCCACCATCCCCAGCCAGTACAGTCACATCCTCCCAAACCATGCCAGGCACACCTTTTGCATGCGAGTGAGCAGGACGTAGTGCTGGAAGGTGTAGGCGTAGCGCTGGGGGTCCTTGTAGAAGCGGTCCAGCAGGTTGACGGGGCCCTCCCCGCCCTCTGCTCCAGCCACCGACTGCCACTCCTCCACGGGCTCAGGCACCACCTCGATGATGTCCTGCAGCTCCAGCGCCTGGTCCGCCATGATGTTGAGGAAGGTGGACTTGCCCGCGCCGATGTTGCCCTCCACGGCCAGGGTCACGCGCTGCGCGCGCTCCGCCTCCGCCTGCCAGGTCAGCGCGCTCACGTGCTCCGCCACAGTGCGGCGGTGGTGCGAGTTGCGGATGCCCACCACCTCCTGTGGTTTGTGTGTGCGCGCGTGTTGAATCTCGGCCCGAGGCCTGGAAATGCGCACAAACAGCATCCGAGGAACGGGCCACAGATCATCGGCTGAGGGTGACGCAGCCACACCACGAACGGATTGATACACTGAAGCTGGAAAGAGTCAGCCTTTGGGGAGAGTCACACCATCACATATTCCGCACACCCAAGCCAGCACATGGCCACGCACCGGGCCTTCCCGTCCCCACACGCCACAGGCAGAGCACCCATGAGATCCACGCGCCCACAACTCACGGCGAGGAAGCGCTGGAGCTCGTCCTTGCTGGCACCCAGGCTGGTATGGTAGAGGTCCTGCAGCGCAGCGATGCTGTCGATGGCATGCGCGGAGAGTAGGGCTTCGTAGGTGCGACCCACGCCCCGGAGCTGGCGGAGATCGGAGGAGGAGGGGGGCGCGCGGGAGGGTGCCGAGTCTGGGACCCTGCCGGCCCCAGCCGTAATGGCGAACCGTCGGAGGCATGGAACGCGAGACGGAACGGCCCGCTGGGCGGCGGCAGTCGTGCCTAGAACGGGCAAAGTAGCCAGTGGCATGGCTCTAGCAGCTCGTGAGAACACAGCGGTCAGTGCTCTGGAATCAGGGCGGGGGAGCAGGGACGGTGAGGGCACCCCTGGTACCATGAGCAGGCGACTCGAGGAAGCAAGGCGTCATCGGCAGCGTCAGCCATGACCCATAAATACGTTCAAGGAACAGACTCACCCGAGCATGGCTGTGCCAACATGCCAAGGACGCTGTGGCAAATGATCTCCAAGCACCAGGAAGAAGGGTAGAGGTGGAGACGGCCTCACAGCCTATCTCGATGCCCTGGCATGGTAAAGTAGGCCGCTTTGACCAAATTGGCTTTTCAAAAGGGTATTGGAGGCGTGGAACACCCACACTCTGTCTCTCTTCGAACCTGGGCGCCACTGCTGGGGGTCCCTGGCAAGTGTGGGAGCGAGATTTGGGCCTGCTTTCTTTGGCCTGCAGGATGTCCCAATCTATAAGCTCGCTGAGTGCTACACAGCAGGGGGTTGGGGACCACCACCTCCCTCTTTCGGCGACCAAGTAGAATCGAGTGCTTGTAGCCCACATCCTTGGGCACAGCTATGCAATTCTGAACCGGAGGGTAGGGACGAGCACGGCAGCCATGAGCGTTGCCACGTCCAACGCCTTCGCGTTGCTGGATGATGAGGGTACCGTGGACGTGAGTGCCCTGGCGGCCCGCATTCCTGCGGCCCAGAAGCCTGCACCAAAGCCGGTGGAGGAGACGAAGCCAGGTGGGTCCCGTATCCGGGCGGCGCCATCGCGCCACAGCGCGCCACGGGGGCCGCCTGATGTGATCGCATCGCCCGTGCCCGATGCGCTTCACAGCCTGCCCTGCCCTGTTCTGCGCCATGCCAAACTCCAGATTGGCCAGCGCAGGTCCCGGCAGCGATGCCGATGTGGTCCCCCTTTCCAGCCCGTTCCGACTCCCTCCCCCCCCCCTCCATCCTCAGTGGCCCGCACCAACACCCGCGAGGCCCCTCGCGGCGGCGGCCGCGGCGGTTTCGGAGGCCGTGGACCCCGCGCCCCTCGCGCCAACGAGGAGGGCGGCGCCTTCGACGCCGAGTCTGCCCCCGCCCTGCGCTCCGGCGGCGCCGGGCGCGGGCGTGGCGGGCGCGGCGGGCGCGGCCGCGGCGACGGCGACCGCTCCGGTCGCCGCGAGTACGACCGCCACGACGGCTCTGGCCGCGGGCACGAGACCGAGAAACGGTCCGGCGGCGGCCGCGGCAACTGGGGCGCCGAGGTTGAGGCCGCCGGCGAGGAGCCCGCCGAGCGCCCGCCCCCCCCAGAGCCCACCCCCGAGGAGGTGGAGGCTGCGGAGGCAGCCCGCCGCGAGCGCGAGGAGGAGGAGCGCCAGCTGTCCCTGTCGGCCTACGAGGCGCAGCAGGCAGCCAAGCGCGCCAGCCTGAACTCCGCCAAGGGCCCCACCTACGTGGTGGATAAGGACCAGTTCAAGGGCATGAAGTCCTTCACCAAGGTGGAAGAGGATGTCGGCCTGGACCTGCACAAGAACGTGAAGACCATCGGCGCCAACAAGGGCGGCCGCGACAAGGAGCTGAAGCAGAAGGAGCTGGTCAAGGACGTCGGCTTCAGGATCGCGGGCGACGACGCGCCGCGCGGGCCCCCGGCCGGTGGCCGCGGCGGCCGCGGCGGGCGCTTCGAGGGCGGCCGCGGCGGCGGGCGCTTCGAGGGCGGCCGGGGCGGAGGCCGCTTCGAGGGCGGCCGGGGCGGAGGCCGCTTCGAGGGCGGCCGGGGCGGAGGCCGCTTCGAGGGCGGCCGGGGCGGGCGCGGGGCTGCGCCGCGCCCCGCCCACCAGGGCGCCTCCATCAATGTGGAGGACACTGCCGCCTTCCCATCCCTGGCCTGAAGCTGGCCGTGCGTGTGCCGACCCCCGGCTTGCATGCCCGCAGCCCGGTGCCGTCACCTCCCCCCCCGCAGGCAGGCATGGCGAGTGTGCTCTGGTGACACGTGTGTGTGCCTGCGAGCCTCACAGCGATGAAAGAGCGTTTTCGAGGGAGGGCAGGGAAGGGCAGGGCAGGGGCAGGGCTCAGGGGGTGATCAGCGGCTCTGAGGGCGAGCGGGTTGCGCCCCCCGTGGGAGGCACGGTCAGGCGCTTGCTGATGCCGGCAGCACCAGTCCGATCGTAGGCCAGATTGTACCTGTTGATCATCTCCGCGGCTGCGTGCGGAGGCGGGGGATGGGGTCATGGTTGAGGCGGCAGCAGTGTGGTTTGGTTTGGAATGGAGGGCCACAGCGGGGATCTCCGCTCGATCCTGAGAGCGGAAGCAGACGCTGTCCCGCGTGCGTGCCAGCCCGCCCGAGATCCCCAGGCCCCATCCAACTCCCGACGTGCCTGCTCCGGAGCCCTTGGTCACCGCGGCAGCTAGCACCATCATGAGCACGTCGGCCTCGCCTGAAACTTCCTGGCGCAGGGCCGCCAGGTCGCCCAGGGCCGGGAGCCCCGAAGCCAGCGCGGCCGCCCCCCGGGCGACGTCGGCGTCGAAGGGCACCTCCCCCGCCGCCATGCGCTGCATCACGCTGTGCACGCTGCGGACCCGCTCCATCAGCATGTCCAGCGCGCTCAGCGTGCCGCTCAGCTGCGCGCTCACTGCGAGACAGGGTTTCGGTGGGGGTGTGGGGGTGAGTGGCTGGGGGAGGCAGCGTATGGGTGGCCCAGCGGCGGGGGGGGGGGGGGGGGGGGGCGGGGGGGTGGGGGAGGTCTGCGGCACGCCGCCCACTGACCGGCAGTACCAGCACGACCTGATCCCCGCGCTCCGCTCTCCACTCACGCTGCCCAGAGCCGGCAGAGGCGCCGCTGGGCAGGAGCTGCGCCACCTGGGCTACGCCCACCCGCTCCGCCTCGGAGGTCTGCAAGGGAGGAAAGCAGGGAAGTGTTGACCGGCCCTGATGAGAACATGCCGGAGCGACGTGCGGGTCGTGGGTGGCTGGATGCTGCACTACGTCCTAGGTTCGCTTGGCCTCCTCCACTCGCCTCCACGGTGAAGGCAGACTTGACAAAGGTGGTGGAGTGCTGTTTGTCCACATGATGGACCTCTGCGCGGGGGGGGGGGAGACTCACATTGTTTCGGCATGCCGAGGATGATGTATCTGCATGCGAGGTCCATGCGAGCGTTGCCCCAGACGCCGGACACAGAATGGATCCAGCGATTGATGTGACCCTTCTCACAACCCCTCACCCGTCTCGAAGAGGCCAACAGGAAGGACAGAGCTCTGCGTCGCCAGTGAGGGATTCATCACCAGGTACACTGGCGTCTCATTCAGCCGGGATATCTGCACAGTCGAGGGTAGGTGGACAATGTGACGAATGCGAGATTTCAGGAAGAAAAGAATCTTGCGGCGTGAACATACGAAGCTCTGAGGAGGTATGTGGCCATAGAAGGAATCTCATTGCACAACACGCCTCGCCATGTCCAAGACTGGCAGTGGCAGGCTTGCCTGCGCGTGGGGCCCCAGGTCCTCTGGGAGGGGACCCTCTGAGGATGAGCTGTACCAGCCCACAATGTCCAAGGTGGGGAACACTTGTTTATCTGAGGCGGAACGGCAAATGTCAAGGTGCGTGAGCCTGATGGTTGGATGTGAGATTGCTAATGGTGTACCTGCAGGGTTGAGGATGCGGTTCTCCATCAGACCCTAACCCCTCTCAAGCCCTCCTCACATTGATCCGCCCTTTTCTGCAAAAATTCCAGGTCGATGCTGTGTGAGGCGACCCGCAGCTCGAAGGAGTTGCTGATGTCGACATTCCTGCCAGACTGCTCGCCCAGCAAGCACCCGTATACCCGGCTGGGGTGGTCCGAAGACGATGTGGACGGAGCTGACGGATTCTGCCGTGCTCGGGTGCACTGATCGCTGATGCTTATGAGGACGAGCTGTGATGAAAACAAGGGGAGGGCCAATGGCATCGGGATCGCATGTGTTTCCTGTACTGGCACCTTGGTGGAAGTGATCGAGCCGTACCGGGTGAAGTCGGAACTGGAGACCAGATGTGCTCGCTGGTCGCTCCACAGTAGTATCACTCGTTTGCTGCATTGCTGCACTGGATTCCGACTCTCGCCTCGGAATCCTGAGCGTGCAGAGCCTGGTGCTGGGTCACTTCAGCAGCAGCTGCAGCCCGGCTGGCTCAGTCTCTGGATTTTGGGAATAGACTCCACCATGTGAAAACCCAGAACAGCCTATGATGTCAAACTTGATGGACGAGCAGCGCGGCACAAGTGTTGGATCCAAGGATCTCACATGGAGGGTTCCGGGCGCCAAAACTCAGGCCACCGCTTGATAACGTAGGAGTGCTACATGAGCCCGTACAGCAACCATGCGCGCAACGCCAGAAGCAGCATCACTCAGCGCTCTCTGGCGCTGAGATGGGCATCGACATCTTGCGCTCTGTCCTCGTGCATCAGATCACTTCCAAGTCCTCCGCCCCTGACGACACCGCTCCTCCCAGACGAAGGAGAGTTCCCATGGGCTTGTTCCATTGAGATTACACACACACATTGCGATAAGGAAGGGATGAGTGTGTCGGATCCCTCGCACCTGGAGGCCCAGCTGGCTTCCCAGATCGTCACCTTGTGGAGGTCCCAGACAGCACCATTCCAGGCCATAGTTGACGACTATGCAGCTGTACTGCAACGAGCACAGGAGTCGCATGTATGTGTGTGGTGTCTTACTCAGCACTCTCACATCAAACTGAGCCACGACATCTTGCAGCGCGCATAGCCCCATTGCCTGGCTTCCCCTGTTCCTCTGCGTGCAGGTGAGGGCAGCGCAGCTCGACAGAGAAGCCAATGAGGCTCGCGCTGAGAATGACACCCTGCTACGCGCCCTCGAGGCTGCCAAACGTGGAGCAGTGACGCAGGAGGAGGTGGGCATGGAAGTAGTTTTGCGCTGGAGCTGACTGCGAGTTGGTCCAAAGGCGCAGACTCAGTCTTCCCAGCAAACGCTTTGGTAATTTGTCAACCCATAATGACACCGCTCTTCCGTTTTCCTTTTTGGACCAGTTTGCAGCACTGCAGGCCGTGCTGACTCGCACGGAGACAGACCTGACGGCGGCCTACAAGGACAAGGCGATGCTGGCGGAGTCCAGCTTGCAGGTCACACAGCAGCTCAGCGTGAGGCTTCCTTGGCAGTAGTGGTGGATAGAAATGCGGTCACGAGACGAGGCTGGGGGATGTGGGATGGGGTGTTCATTGGTGTCAACTGCTTCATGGCTCATATAGGGCCGCACCTGTGCAGGTCCAGTGCAAGCACCCTGCTCCACTCTACAAATGCCATCCCTTCCACCTACCTCCAGGTCGTACGCGACATCAATGAGCAGCAGACTCGGGAGATTAAGGAAGCGGAGGCAGCGATCCGCACGCTGAGGGACCAGGTTAGAGCCCTGCGCGGCGAAGTGGAGCGACTGGAAGAAAGCGTGGCCATGGCCGGCAAGGAGGCAGAGGTGGGGCCCGGCTTTGGCCTGATGTGGAGGAGCCATTCAGTCTGGGACCCTGCTTCATGCACAGCTGGCACTCCCAAGGCAGATGGCTGGCTGATGGGCAGAAGAAGATATCAAATGTTGGCATGCTGGGTGCGCCGTGGTGGCTCCCCAGCCACATAAAAGCTTGAGGACGGCTCACCGCCCGCAATCCCCCACACCCTTGACCCTCCTTGTGCAGGCGCAAAGGAACGACGCCACCGTATCCGCGGCTCGGGCGGCAGCGCTGGAGGCTGACAATGCGGCCCTGGCCAGACGCCTGGTGGAGCTCAAGGAGGCTGAGATTGAGCGCATGAACGACATCAACCGCCAGGGCGAGGAAATGGTATCTTGGGAGTGTATCAAGGCCTTGAGGGCTCTATGGGATGGAGGATGGTATGTGATATAAGGGAGCCCATATGACGATGGGCCCTGCTGCTGAGAAGTCGCCGTTTGGTGGCTGTTATGCATGGGTGGTTCTTGAAGAGTGGCGAAGAGGCAGGCACAGCCTCCCCGAGCTGCACCAGAACCATGCAAGCCCCCTCTCACTCCCTGACTCCCCGTATAACCCCCCTCTTACAGCTCACCTCCGCCAAGCGTCAGGCCGCCGAGCTGCTCGCCAGCGCGAGCGCCCAGGCGCGCGCCGCGGGCCCCGGCGCCGCAGTGGCCTCTCTGGAGAGGGCGGCGCGGGGCCTGAGCCTGGGCGAGGCCGCGGCGGATGCGCTGCCGGCTATGCTGGCGCGCAGCGTGCCCGAGGCGCACGGCGCCGGCTGCTTTGGCCTGGCCTTCAACCGCGCGGGGACGGCGCTGGCGTCCTGCGGCGCCGACAAGACCGTGAAGCTGTGGGACGCCATCGCGGAGGGGAGTGCGCCCATGGCCACGCTCCATGTGGGGCCCGGCGAGGGGAAATAGAGGAGGAAAGAGGGGGGGCGGGCGGGCGCTTCGAGTCTGGATGAGGTTGTGGCCCGTCGCGGGGCGAGCAAATTGCGGCCGCGCTGCAATAAAGAGCAAACGTCCTGTGGCTTCTCTGCCCACTTTGCCCAACCAGTCCCTCCTTGTCGCCTCTGCAATTGCGCCCACAAAAGACCCCCTTCCCCTCCTAAAACACGGCCTAGGGTTGAAATCATCCAAGCCCAGCTGTTGTCCACCCCGAACCCCACCTCAATCCCACCCACCCCCACACCCCCAAACCACACAGGGTGCGTTTGAGGGCCTGAACAGCGTGGCCTGGACCCAGGACGGCCGCTCCGTGGTGGGCGCGGAGTCTCGCTCCGCGCTCCGCGTCTGGGCCGCCGACACGGGGCGCCTGGCCGCATCGCTGACGGGGCACGCGGGGCGCGTGACGGGCGTGGCCGCCTCGCCCGCCGACGCCGCGCTGGTGGCCTCTTGCGCCGCCGACCGCACCATCAAGCTGTGGGGCCTGGACCGCGGCTTCTGCACGCGCACGCTCATGTGCCACTCCACCTGCAACGCCGTGGCCTGGGCCAGCGGAGCCGCCGGCCTGGCCTCCGCGCACTTCGACGGCGCGCTGCGCCTGTGGGACGCCGCCAGCGGCCGCCAGGTCAGCGAGGTGGCGGGCCTGCACGGGGGTCAGGTCTGCGCCCTGGACGTGGGGCCCTCGGGAGGTGAGCGGGTGGCTGGGGGGGTGGCTGGGCTGCCCCTGTGCGTCCGAGCGGCGCCTGGCACCGTGTGGGGGTTTGGGGGCCATGCTGTTGCGGGGCCTCTGCACGCCTGCCCATGTACAAGAGGGGCAAGGACTGGCTGGTTGTTGAGGTCCCAGCGGCCCCCCAGCGGCAACTGCCGAGCATCCCGGCAAACAAAGCCCTCCTCCTTTGGGGGCCGTCATCAGAGCTCTCTGCTGTGCACAGTCTTTATTTTAACCAAACACCTAGAATCGACCCCCCCCCTTCCGCAGTGATGGCGCTGACTGCGGGCAAGGACAATGTGGTGCGGGTGGTGGACCTGAGGGCCCTACGCGTGCAATGCACGCTCACCAGCCGACACTTCAACGTGGGGGGCGCCTGGTCGGTCGTGGCGCTCAGGTGAGGGTCATGGGGGTGTTGAGGAGGGGGGTAATGGCCAGGGGAGAGGGGAGAGGGTGGAGTGGAGCGGCTCTCCAAGCAAGGAGTCGACGGCGGGCGCAGCCGCGTGTACGCACAATCGGGTCTGCCCTTCACATGCTGGAGTGTGCACTTGAGGTCTGCTCTGCCCGTCGACTCAGTCAGCAATAGCTGGTGAGCATGCTTGACGGCTATACCTTGTCGCCGTTCCCTGTGCCTGCCTCGGAACCACTACCTGGCGCAATGACAGTACACTCTCACAACCCTTCAAATCCTTTGCAGCGCCGACGAGCACCATGCAGCAGCCGGCTCCGCCGATGGCTCAGTGCTGATCTGGGACCTGACCAAGCCCGGCACAGCCCCCAGCCGGCTGAGCGCGCGCCAGGCTGCCTCCCCAGTCACGGCGCTGGCCTGGAGCCCCATCGGCGCCCCCATCGTCACGGGGTCAAAGGCGGGGGGGGTCGCGTTCTGGGATAGAGCCGAGGACGACTGATGATTAAATTAAAGGTGCATGCCGCGGTGCTGCATACGTTGCTTACCAGGCAGCAAGTCCAGCTTTGTGGACGAGCAGGCCAAGACTCTATAACATTGGGGGCAAAGTGACAAGGATTGCAGGCCAGAACACCTTGTCTTCTTGGGTGGCCATTCACTGCGCAACGCTCAGCCTCGTCAGTCCTTTGACCCTCCTGCCGTCCGCTCCGCCGGGGAGCGTCGCCCAAAGCCCTTGGCCGTGGCAGCCGTGGATGGGCTCTTGCGAGGCGCCTTCTTCTCGGCACTGCGTGAGGGATGCAATGGCTTGCGCCTTGAAGATTGCTATGGTGCATGTTGGCGGACCAAGGGCATGGTCCTTTCTAATACCATCCTCCTTCTCCCGCACCTCGCCGAGGCGGACATGGATCCAGAGCCAATTGGCCTCCCCTTCCTATCCTGCTCTTCCGCTCGTTGGTCCAGCCACGTCGCGATTGACAAGTACGCCACCTGTGCAGATAATCTGTCTCGACTTAAAACTGCAAATGGGAACTCGCAAGCTTCTGGGATAGAAGAGCAGAAGAGACCTGCATCCCAGCCATACATTCCTCCAGAGTATGCATGGCAGCGCCATCGTACCCCGAGTGTTACTATGGTGAGGGCGGCGGCAGACGCGGTGAAGAGGATGGAGGTGAGAACCTGAGTTGGTTCTGCACTCTCCGCCAGCTCTGCAATGCTTGCGCCCGCTGCTGCACAACGGCCACTCGCTCTGAGTGGAGCTGATTCTGGATGCCAAGATCCTGGGTACCCCTTTGTACCCCTGTCATGTGATGCTCGACACTGGCGATTGCGGAATGTCGACCATTGCAGCCCGGGACCGTCTGCCCCGGACCGAGAAGTGACGGTGCCACAGGGTCGGATGTGGGCCAGTGCCTGCATTATGCTGCCATACTTCAACGCTTTGAGATGTAAATGCACCGACTTCACTGTTGTATGCCTGGCATGCGGTCGTGCGAGGTGGAGCGAGAAAACCATTCGAGCGATCTGCGGGATCATAGCACGCCGCAGCACGGAGTGGAAAGCCTGGAAGTTGTCATTGGGGCAACAACTCCCGCTTCACTTATACCGCTTTCACGGAGCATGCCGCATGCGCCGCGATGGAAGACGACTATAGCCTCGACTTGACCAGATCCGGGGACCTGCGGGTCGATGCGACCCCGTTTCTCCCGGTGAGACATGGTGTCGGGTTGGGCCTCGGGTGGGCAACGGTTTCTCAACTGCACCCCCGCGCATCGGGATCCCAGGCCATTGCGCCGATGCGTATCGCGCCAGATCTGGCAGCAATATGGTACTTGCGTGCTCTGACACCGAGCAAGGACCCCCACACCTCCAAGGCTTCCGCCTCGACGGTGACACCGAGACCATTCGCCCCGCAGTCGGAGCGGATGAAACCCATCAAGACTGTCATCTCGCAGCGCGACGTACTCGCGACACTAGACAAAGGTGAGATTTTAATGACGTTTTGACGCTAGTGTAGGCCTTGGTTGAGGTCCTGGTGTGCACGCTACTCGCATCCCTCGCAATTTCGGCGGAGGGGGAAGATCTTGAAGGTCGCTTATCGAGAGGGGAGCCGCCAAGGCGGCTCACGCTCGGAGCGTGGCAGAGGACCCACCCCCACCCCTCCCCCACTCCACAGTGCCATTCACTCCTAGTCAGGGCGTGTGCACACCAAGTCCGACACACACGTGGATAGCCCACCACCCCCCGACGATCGTGGACGGCAGGAATGGCGCGCCCTGGGCAAGTCAGGTGCCGCAGCTCTGAGAGCTTGGGGCGGGGCCAGGTTGCCACAGTCAAAATGGGATGGAGACCAGACTCTGTGTTCTTGCAACCTAGAAATTCTGCCTGACGGAGCAGCCTCCACTGCCTTGCCTGCATCGGCCCCACCCCCCACCCCCTCCCACCGCAGGGGCAGGAGCAGGCCGCGCAGTGTCAGCAGAGCCAGCAGCACTACGGGAGCCCCGGGAGCAATGCGTCCGACGCCTCCATGTTTCCCGCCAGCAAGACCAGCGGGTCATCCGGCACGGCCAGCCCCCTCACCCGTCCCCTGGTCCAGTCCCTCTTCTACCCGCTCCCCGGCTCGCCCCGTGCCTCCATCCAGGACCATGCCGGCGGCCTGGAGCAGGGCTGGGAGCCCCTCGGCAGCCCCAGCGGCCGCTCCATGTTCGCCCAGTTCTTCGCCGGGGAGCTGGACGCGGAGGGGGAGGCACCCCTGCTGTCCGACGAGGGCGTGCTGTCCCCGGGAGGAAAGGACGCCCAGGGCCGTGATGGGGCGGGCGCCATCGAGGTGACCCCGGCAGCCTACGGCCTGGCGGCCTCCCTGTGCACGGCCCAGGGCCTGGCAGAGCCCCCGATGCAGGTGCGGCCGGGGCCTGGGTGCTGGGGGACTGGTGTGCAGCCGTAGAGACTCTTGGAAGACATACGCTGTCATTTGCCTGTGATGCCGCAGGGCCAGACACTGCCTGACAACGACTCTCCCACTTCCCCTTATATACAAACCCCAAACCCACTGCAGTTGGTGGAGCTGGCCTCCCTCCTTATGTCCTATGGGCTGGCTGTGGGCGCCAGCGGCCCCCCCTCGCCCGTGCAGGAGGGCAGGGGTCGTGTTAAGCGGACCAAAACGCAGCCCCTGCGCCTGAATGCCGACGGCAGCATCCGCCTGAACGCGAGGTGGGAGGGGCAGGGGGGGACCCGGCGTCGTCGCAAGTGGGAAAAGGTCCTGCAGGGCCATCCTTCCCCACCCCTGCCCCCGCAGCGCTCATTGACTGCACCTCGCCTCCCCTGCCGATCTTCCCTGCAGGCAGCGCCGGACGCTCCGGCGGGCACAGGAGCGGGCCCTGCGGTCCCTCGTGGATGCACAGCGCCTCGTGCATGGCGGCAGCCTCACCCAGGTACTGTGGAGTTTGGCGGGGGAGTTGTTGTGCTCCTGCCACGAGGAAGGAATGGTCCTGCAGAGGAGTCACCTTGTCTGGGCATTCGCTCCCAGGGCTGCTGTGCTGCCCGTATAGGTGCACCGGCCAACCGAAGCGCAGACGCACCCGCACTTCCCCCATGCCCCCCCCCTCACACCGACTCCCATCACCCGCAGGCAGCCTCGCGGGTGTTCCAGGCCGAGGGCCTGACCTACCCCAGCCAGGCCAAGCCTCCCCTGGCCCCCCCCCCCACCTTGCAGGTGCCCTACACCGCAAGCACGACGGTGTTCACCGCCGGGGGCTACCAAGGGTACGCCCCAGGCATGGGCGCCCTGGGCGGCGGCCACTTCGTGGACGCCAGCGGCTACTTGCCCGCCGGCTACCACCCACCCTTACACGCCCCCGGCGGCTACTGCGGCGTGCAGGCCCGGGGCGCCCCGCCCCAGGTCGGGCCCCCACAGATGGCGTCATGGGGTCCGCCGCCGGCCCTGGCGCAGCATGCGCCCCTCCTGCTCGCCGGCTCACTGGGGCAGCCGCAGGGGCATGTGGCGCGGAGTTGCAGCATGAGGCCCGGGCAGCGCATCAGCAGGTTTGCCCCCGACCAGGTCTGAGCAGGGGGTGGTCAGACCTCTGACGCACCAGCTGCCAATCTGACCGTTCAGCAGGGATCGACTGTCTTCGAGCAAACCTCTGGAGGGAAAACCTCCCGCTGGCATCTGACGGGACCCCACCCAACGCCCCCTCCAAACCCTTGCCCTGACTGACTGTAGTGCGCCTTTTCCTGACCTCACTCTCTTGGGCCCAGGGTCTGGCAAGCAGGCCCCCTTCCCATGCCCGACCCATTGCAACCATGGCACCCAAACGTGGGACCTCAACCCTTGTCATTGAACTTCACGCGATTCGAGATGCACCTCGCACTGCTCTGATGCACCTGTAAAGATCATGAGGCTGAGAGGAGGGGAAGTTTGGAGGTGTCTCGTGCCTGGTTCGGGTGGGTAAGCATGGCAACCCCCGCGTCACAGCGTCTAGATACTCAGGTGCCTGCCGGCAGAATCGAGAGTACGCTCAGACAGGGGGCAGGGGCGCCCGCAGCTGCGTGACGATGCGCTTTCCATAGTCCAGATCGTCCCCTGGAACAGCCGCCAGAACGGCATCCAGCGCAGCCACAGCACGGTCCACCTACGACACACATGTTTTGGATGCTTCTGGCGTGAGCACAATTACCAGGAACTCTTTGGCGGCAAAACCTCCATTTGCCGGCGCATGACATGCCAGTGCCCCCCCACACACCTTGGACAGGGAGGCTGGGCCGATGGAGTCCCGCCCCTTGACAGCCTGGAAGATGCTGAAGTCAAGGTCCTCCAGGCTTCTCAAGAAGGCAGTGCTCTGCTTTCCATCCCGGCTGGTGTACTCCCCCACCGCATTCACTGCCTCGCGCAGACCAGCAAAGGCTCCCGTCCGCAGGCGGGAGCGTGCCTCCTTGGCGTCCTCGACTGGAGAGTGGCAATGGAGAGTTGGAATGGGTGAGGCGCGGAGGGTGATGGGAGTGGGGGACGGCGTGGGGGCACCATTGGCAGGTTGCCCGGGGGAGAGCCGACGCGTCTCCGCAGTCCCAACCCAGGCCCTGCTCACTCATCACGGTGCCAAGGCCGCTCAGCTGATCCCGAGCCTGAAGGAGGGAGGGGACGTAGTATCGCAGGGGTTCAAGCGCCCTCTTCTTCAGGTAGTTGGACATTCCAGGGGTCTCAGCTGCTGCCTGCCAGGTGGAGAAGTTGAGAGGGTGAGACCAGGCATTGTCGTCCACTTCTCACAAGCATGCAGGGAACAGCGTCGAGTGCACCAATGCATGTCCTGGATCTCACCGCTTTCCATGGAAGGGCAGGGAGGACTGTGAGAGCCAGACCCAGGCATCGTCGAGAAATGGGGCTGGCACGGGACACCGCTGGAGTCTTGTCGTGATGAAGTGGGAGTGGGTGGGTGGGTTAGAGGGGGTAGAACTCGGGTGGGCAGTGATAGAGTATTACCCGACAGTAATCACCTTTTACATGGGCAGGCACGTCATACCTGATCAGGGTGGGCGTGGCAGCGTGCCACAGCACCCAACTCCAGAGAGACTGGTGCCCGGGTCGGTCCGGCGCTGCACGAAAATGTCCCGACTGGCATCGCGCAGGTTCTAGACTTCAAATGCTGGAAGGAACAACCCTTGAAACTTACAGGTACGCAGGGTGTCACTGCTGAACTTGCAAGGGAATGGTCACCGAGGGCGATCAATCGGTGACCACAAAATCCAAAGGTTTTTCGGATTGCGGCTCCGACCAGCTCAACCCCACTGGCAAATGGCAGATGTCCTCCACGCAGATTATTGGCAAGGGACATTCGAAGCATTCCGATACCCGCAACACTCGTCAAAGGGATGCCATGAATCCTTCTACCGACAGATACGCTCCAGGGTCGGTTTTGGATGTCTATAGTTGGTGGGTTATAACATCATTCTGCCTGAAAGATGGGCATACTACAAGAGTATACAGTCCAGAGGCAATGTGGGTCTTGAAATCTTATACCAAAACATCATCCAGAAAGGTATCTAGTGGTCCCAAGTGTCTGCAAGTCGATGAGCACGGACCATAACCCCCCCTCACCCAGAAAGGGAAGTCGACTCCTGGAGGAGCTTCCCCCCAAATCTGCTTATCGGGGTGGCTCACCATCCCCCCCGACATCAGGCACGAGCCCCTCCCGGCGAGCTCCACATACCGCAAGATCCAGGCCCTTCATACACTCACTGTTCGCCTTTCCGAGCCCCTGCTTCCCCGTCCTCCTCCCCTCCCAACCCCGTCAGCCACGCGTCCCGCGTGTCTCGAGCTCTCCCTTGAATGGTGATAACACTGGATTCTCAACCTCCCGCCCCCCCGTCACCCGTCTTCGTCTGCAATGGACAGCTGCGGGTACGCGCCGCGGGGCATGGGAGCCGGGCCGGAGGTCCCGCACGTCCCCTGCGCACCGTACGGGCCCCGCCTCGCACAAGCACCCAACCCCATCCCCGCTCCGTCTCCCCCCCCCCCCAGGTTCCCTCTGGCGACTGTGTTGGTGGACGGGAGGGCAGCAGGGGAGCCGTTCCGGGGGGAAGCCGCGAGCGGGAGCCAGGCTAAGGCGTGGGTGTCCGCCGCCGAGGCCGTGGCCGCCGCCAGCCGTAGCCCCGCCGATCCCCCCCGCCGCATCAAGTCCCTGGCCCGGGACGGCATCCCCCCCGCCCTGCGCGGCCACCTGTGGCCCGCCCTGTCCGGCGGCGCCGCGCTGCAGGCCGCGGCGGGCGCCGGCGCCTACGAGGCGCTGCTGGCCCGGCACGGCCTGCTGGCCCCCGCCGCCGACCCGGAGGCCTGGGACGTGCTGCCTTCCCACCCGGCGGTGGGCGGGCGCGAGGGCGCGGCGGCGGTGCGCCGTCTGGCCCTGGCCACCGCCGCCAGCCGCGGCATGCTGCACCCGCCGCGGCCGCTGGCCATGCTGGCCGGCTTCCTGCTGGCTGTCATGGGCCTGTCGCGGGAGGAGGCGGCCTACTGGACGCTGGCCGGCCTGCTGGCCCACCGCCTGCCCCGCGACTTCTATGACGCCGACATGGCCGGCGCGGCGCTAGAGCAGGGCGTCATGCACATGCTGCTGCAGGCGCGCCGGCCCGCCGTCTGGGAGCGTGTGGCGGGCAAGCACGCCGGCGTGGGCCCGGGGCCGGGCTGCCAGGCGCGCCCCGACCGCGACTGGGTGGCCTGCCTCTTCATCAATGCCCTGCCCCCAGGTGGGCTGATGGGAAGAGGGGGGTCGGTTCGTGTCGCCGGGGCGGCAGGAGGAGCGGGATGCCCAGCCTGCGCGGTGTTATCCCGCCCCACGCATCACGTCCCCCTCCCTCCCAACACTCCCCCCC